TTTGTTCTACTAAATCATTCAGCTATTTAGTAAATGCAGATCAATTTTGTGAAGTTGAAACTGAAACAATGACCTGTTTGGTATTTACACAAGCAAATTAGCAAATCATAATGAACTATTTTTGACCTGTTGTAAACTTTGTATAAAAAAACTTTGATTGTACTAATTTTTGTTTAAGCATTTCATGTATTCATTAAAAATTTGAATAGAATGTGAATGATAATTTTGATTTAAAAATTTTTTATTTGATTTTAATTAAAATTCAAGTGATCTGCCAACTTTTCTTGAATTAGTTAAAAAATTTCAATAATTCAAGTTAAAATTTAAGTAATCCACCAATTTTTCATAAATTAGTTAAAACTTAAATTTATTTATTAAAAATACAAGACGATAATTTTCAAATTAGAGAATGAAAGTTATTTTTTAATGAAAATTTGATGGATTATTGCAAAAATTTGTTCATTTCGAGTAATTTCAATAAGCGTTTTGCTATTTTCACAAAATTTTTTCGCCAATACCTTTTGTGATCACAAACTTTATTCGAAAATATGCTATTTTTATTAGACAAATATTGCTGTTGTTTTTAAAATATATCAAAATACAATAAAATTTTGGTATTGGTCACACTAACCACTTTGCTGATACTGTAGTAATTAATATGAAGTATTTAATTATGTCATTATTATATGATTTCTTGTATACAAAACTCATATTTCTTTGTAATTACAAATTTATTATGTTTACAACTTCAAATTCTTGAATTACAATTAAAATTTAAATTATTGATTCATATTTTTGACAAATCAGTGATATTTTGTAAAAGCATCCAAAGTTTGGAGCCATGAAAAAATGGATAACAAAAATAGATTTTTGCATATTATGATTTATTTACTCATACAGCGATTTTTTTGCGCCCAAATAATGAAACGATTAAATAAATATGTAGCTTTAAAGTATGATATAAATATGAAAACTTGACAAGTTTAATAAATTCATAAATTATCTATTTCATCTCTTGCCAATTAAAGATCCAGTAAGCGCACCAATGTTGGCACCTAATCTTGCAGCAGGATCCAATGCTGCATTAAATGTTAATGGTAAATACCTGAAATTTTAAAATTTTAGGTAAAAATACTTTTTTATAACTCACAATATATTTCTGAAATTTAATTTCAAATAAAATGAAAATTTTGACAATTTGTATTTTTAGTTAATAACTTTTCTACAATTCAGCAGTGAATAATTTGCATTTTTATAGTCAAAATATATTTTAGTAATCGTACAAAAAAATTGTGTCAAATAAGCACTTTTTCTGTATTTTTGTTTATTGATTTTAACAAATTTTTTTAGCTTATTTTATTTTATTTTCCTTATTTTTAATATTTTTCAAAAAATATTTTTTGAAGTTCTTCAAAATATTAATCCGTTTTATAGTATTATTATAAATATACAGTTCGACCTGGCATTCATTTGAATTTTTAAATTTGAAAAACAAAACTTTTTCTCAAACGGATTGACTTTTATAACTTTATGTTAGTACTTGTCTTTTACATTAATCATACTGACCCAGGAAAGAATTGTCCACCAAAGTTTCCAAATCCATTGTATCTTCCAAATCTATCATACCCACCATACCCACCATACCCACCATACCCACCAAACCCACCATACCCACCATAGCCTCCGTAGCGACCATAGCCATATCTCCTTCTACCAAAACCATAAGGATTACCATAGTAATAACCATATGGAATTCTCCAATAGCCATATAATGAAGCTACACCTTCTATGATTACAAGTGTAATAAATATTGTCAGTAAGTTCTTCATAATTGATATGGAATTCACCTGCAAAATGCAAAAAATTTGAAATAGAAGTAGTTTTGTTAATATTTATACATGAAGAATTCATTTTTAATTAATTTTCGATAACATTTTATTTCATTACTCAGTAAAACTTTATGAAAGCACAAATATCATTCTATAAATATATTTTTTAGTTCTCTATTAAGTATTTATTAGTTAGATATGCAATATTACTTGATTTATATTCAAATTTCTTATGCTTTTCAATTTTTTTAAAATTAAATACCAAATTTTTAGTTATGACTAACAATGTACTATTTTGCATAATTATTATTCATTTATTAAACAAATTTATTGCTTAATTAATTAAACCAGTCTATATTTATAGTTTAGTTTAATTAATTAAGAGCTATTAGCTTGCAAATATGCAAATTATTCAGTCCTTTTGAAGTTTTTTTGTTGTTATTATTTAAACGGAGCTAATTCGTAGTATGTCAATTTGTTTGGTTATTAAAATAATTGGAAAATATTACTAATTAATAAATTACTAATTAATTAACTAACCTGTAGCCAAAATTTTCAAGTGGCTAAAAAACTAATAATAATACATTTTTTGATACCTATTGTGCACTAATAGTGCAATTATAGGTACGCTAAGTGAAACTCACGCTAAGTAAAATTATTCATAATATTCATAACTACTTAAAACTATGCCAATCTCTGTATAATAATCAAACTACTGCTTTATTAGATGTTCATAATAATCAAAAACTTTTTTATTTGCTACTAACTAACTTTAAACTGGTAAGTAAGTAATGAAGACATTTTGCTCAAAACTTTAAGAAAAAAAATGATTTCTTATTTATGCTTTATTAATTAAAAATTTTTAATAACTTTCATGAATTTGCACAGTGCTTATTTTTATACAAATTATTATTTTATAAAACGTTTTCTTGGATATTTTTGGTTTATTTTTTTACTTGACATAAATTTAATGAAATGCAGGTTGAATTAAACTTACAGTGAAAATATATTTAAATGATATGTAAATTATTTAAAAAGTATTACCCATTCAATAATTAAAATTATTTTTAGTAATGAAAACTATTTATTTACAGACCTTTAAATAATTTTTCAGATTGGAATTTAGCAAAAAATTATTCAATCCTAAGAATTTTGATCTCAGTTTGAAAACTTTCGCTTTACTTGACATCAAAATTATTCAAAGCTATTAATTTAATACTCATAATTTAAAATTGAGAATCAAAAACCCTTCATGCATAAACTAAAAGTATTCGCCATTATATAAAAATCTTGTTAAGTTCCAAATTCATCTAAAAACTTG